TATTAGAAAATAGGAATGAGGGTTAACAGAAGATTGCATAGCTCTTCGTTGTAAAAACAAATAATTGATTGATTCTTTGTCATATAACATCATTCAAATGTACTAAGGACGATTATCATGTATTAGTCAAGGGCATAATGTGTGATTATCGATTATTAATCAACTAAAAGTATAGAAAACTATTACATTGTGAGTGATATACTCATTGTAAAACAGGGTTACACTAATTTAGTAAAATTTAAACATCAAAATTATATAGTACTGCTAAAGCTATGCCCAACACAAAAAAATCAAATTGCCTTGACTTTTGTCTGCTCAATGCACTAGTAAAATATATCTAACACCTCTAAATAAAAACAAACAAAATTTATTGGTCAAGCGCTATATTGACAACCAAGAAGGCACCTTTGTCATTGATACTAGTGCAACCAAATTTTTCATTCGAACAGGGATCCTGCATCGAAACCTACGACCAACTCAAAGAAGCTTAGCTCTGGAAAAAGCAAAAGGGCATACTATTCCTGTTCTAGGAGAGACATTAGTAACCATACAGATTGGTAATACCCTGATAGAATACTTATTTCTGGTGGCCGATATTAAGGATCAGTGTGTACTTGGTATGGACATTATGCAAAATAAGTTTATCATCAACATTCAAAGCAAAAATCACACAGCTTTAAGTGGGCATTGTGGAAAGTGAAGAATCTGTTAGTGAAGGAATTCTGGTAGCTAGATGTCTCGTTAAAGTAGATTAACTGATTCCAGTAAGGGTTGCCAATTTATCGAAAAGACCATTAAAACTAAAGAAAGGACAAAAAAATAGGGCTCTATACACCGGTAGAAACCATAATCAAATGCGAAAGCCACCACAAGTAACTCAGTTGACGCCAGTTTTGTGAAACGGCTAATTATTAAAAATTATGATCAACTGACAGCTGAAGAACTTAGAAAAATTAAAGAATTTATCAATACCAACTGTGACATTTTCGAGACACGAAAAACTACAGGCGATGTAAGGTCAATAAGGCAGGCCCTAGAAGACTCACATTTGCTAAACAGAAAGAAGTAGCAAATATGATACGAGACATGATGGATGCAAATATTATTGAAGCTTTCTGTGTAGAAGATTAAATTAGATAACGCAAAAAGACAGCTATCCACTCCCCCGAATAGACGACACACCACTAAACACTATGAGGCGCAAAATGGTTTTCCATACTAGATTTGAAGAGTGGATACTGGCAAGTGGAAGTGCACCCTGACGATCGAGATAAAACAGCCTTTTCAACTGGCAGTGGATTATAGATTCCAAGTTCTTCCGTTTGGTCTCTGTAATGCCCCAGCTACCTTTGAAACGACTAATGGAAATGGTTCTGAAAGGATTAACCGCTAAACTTGTCTAGTTTATCTCCAGGACAATGATAATATCAAAAACTTTTGATTGACATCTAATAAATTTGAGTGAAGTATTTGACAGATTAAGAAATGCCAATCTAAAGTTTAATCACAATAAATGTTCACTGTTCAAATCGGAAGCCTATTATTTGGGACATATCATTTCCGCAGAAGGAATTAAAACTGACCCGGAGAAAATTGCAGCTATCAGAGATTGGCCAAAACCAAGAGATAAAATGGAAATTAGAGTTTTCTAGGACTGCTCATATTACCAGAAATTCGTCAAAGACTTTGGGCTGAATTGCTAAACCCCTTCATCGACTAACTGAAAACAGTAGTTTTTTGACGGACGCCGGATTGCCAAATAGCCTTCACCGAGTTGAAAAAGCGATTGACCACGGCATCCATCTTAGTCTACCCTCGGGAAAAAGGATAATTCATTTTGGACTGCGACGCATCCCAACAAGGCGTGAGCGCCGTGCTATCCCCAGAAAAGGAGGGCGGAAGAGAAAGTAATTGCGTATTAGTACCCTGACCTTGGCAAAAGCTGAGAAGAATTATTGCGCCACTAAGAAATAACCTTCAGCTATAGTCAAAGCCCTTAAACACTTCCATACTTACCTTTTTAACAAAAGTTTTATCATTAGAAGTGAACAAAGCGCCTTGTACTGGCTGATGAATTTTAAAAAATCTGAAGGACAAGTTGCTACATGGATAGAAAGACTGTAACAATATAACTTCGAGATAGTGCATCGAAGAGGACATCTCCATAGCAACGCAAACCTTTTTTCCAGGGGACCCTACTTAGAACGACAATGCAGGTACTACTGTAAAAGGCTCGAAAAAATGATGGTTGATGAAGTTAGTCTTCAGGTGACCACTATCAAGCCAGAGGATGACGAAGAAGTATAAGAAAGACTCAAAAGAAAGACAATGACTTGAAGGTTGTCCCCGAGAATGGCCCAAAAATAGAGTCAGGCCTACCTGGCAAGTGATAGCCAGATATAATGGAACTATTAAACGAACTGGACTAAAAGGATGCTGGCACGAGTTCGGAAAAGATTTTATTGGATCAATTGCCGACGGGATGTAGAAGATTAGTGCAAGAAATGTGATCTATGCAACCGCAGAAAAGGGCCCAAAACAAAAAGTCGAGGTAAAATGGCACAATACCTTTCCGGAGAGTCTTTCGAACGAATCTTAATAGATATCCTTGGACCACTTCCCTTAACAGAAAGGGGAAACAAATACTTGATAATTGTTTTTCAAAGTGGCTCGAAATACCGCCTAAAACTAATCAAGAAACGATGACAGAGGCAGAAGCCTTTATAACGAATGGCATCGCGAGACATGGGGTCCCTCTGGAATTGCATTCTGAACAAGGGACGAAATTTTGAATTCGAGTTTTGGCAAAAATTAATGAAATTGATAGGCATCAGGAAAACAGGCACTACACCTCTCCACCCACAGTCCGACGGTATATTTCAATAATCGTCTCTGAGAACTAAAAGGGCTGGAACACTATAACTCTATTTCTGCTAGCCTACCGAAGTTCTGAACATGAATCAACCACTCTATCCATGATGATTAAAGGAAGGGAGTTGAAACTTCCCTATGATCTTTTTTTTGGAAGGTAGCCTCCTAGTGAAGAAGAGGGCCGTACACTCCTCCCACGTACATACAGAACTTATGAGAAATATTAGAAAAGGTATACGAATTAGCTCGGCAACGTTTGAAAGTCAATAGCGATAAAGCAAAAGCTAGAATCGACATGCATGCTACAGGGACACACAAGAGAGGCGACCCAGTATGGCTGTACAATCCCAAGTACCCAAAAGGACTTTGTCAGATACTGCAACGGAACTGGGAAGGTCCCTACAAGAAAATCAACGACCTGATCTACCCATTATAATAGAATAAAGAGGATGCTACGACGATGCTAAAGTGTCTGCACCTTTGCATTACCCATTCACGTCAACGTCAAACTCGAGATAGTGTAGCTAGTGAGAATAAATGCCATTTATTTTAAAAAGTTCTATTTAAATAATATAAAATCATTTTCATTCCGTGTTAAGAAACATCTGGATGGTTCGATAAGGTTCTAGAAGGTTCAAGCGAGCTAGATAAGTCAATAATCTTGACGTCAGAGTTCAGTTTTATGATAAACGTTTTACGTTCATGTTATCAGGTATATAATTGAATTATAAAAGTTGAGTGTGAAATAAATTGAATTACCAAATACCAGTGTAGTAACAATATTAATCTAAAATGTTTAAATAAAAATTGTAATTTTTTTATAGTAACAGTGGATTTGCCAATTATTTGCATTTGACAAAAAATAAAAATGACCTATTTTGAATTTTAATTTCTAAATTTGCATTCAAGTATCTATGCTTTATTTTACATCATGAATATGTCGTTTCAAACACATTTTGTCTAAATAATAATGTCACCTACTTCTGTACTGAAACATGTTAATGTTTTCTTAATTTATTAGCACTTTGTACCTACAACTACAACCTCATTTACTAAAATTATTTGACCATAAGCAAAATTGTTTTACAAGGATTTATTTTTACACGTACAAAATAGTTTAATAGAGCTAACATTTTTCTTTTTACTATAAATACATAAGGGGTGTTTCATTAAGAATGGGACACAGACTAACTGAAGAAGAAATTTGAAAATTCAAAAACTATTAATGGCTATATAATTTTTTTATTTCTCGGTAAAATTTTACTAAAATCGGCAAAAATGTTTGGTGTCATAGGATACATCTATCATCAAAACAATCAGTTAAATAAACTTTGCCAGTGGCGTACGGCATGGATAAGTAACACTTTCAGCCCTTCTAAATTTTACGCCATTGCCCAAAAATTTCTTTGGGCCATATTTTTACGTTTCTTAAATAGACCATGTACTCTTGTTGGGAACTCATAAAGTGATTAGTTTTCGAGATATTCACACTCAAAGGTGGAAATTTATCATTTTAATAATTTTTTTTAATTTTGATTTTTTTATAAATTCCTAACAAGAGTACATGATTTATTTAAGAAACAACAATAATTCAAAATTATAGTCTAAATAGGTTTTTGGAGAAGTGTAAAATTTATGCCGTACGCTACTGACAAAGTTTATTTAACGGATTTTGTTTTGCTGATAGGTTTATCTTATGACAACAAAAACGTTTGCTATTAAAAATTAATCAATTAATCAAAAAATGTAAAAATATAGTCCAATAAATGTTTTGGGCAGTGGCGTAAAATTTAGGGGGGATGAAAGTGTTACTTATCCAAGCCGTACGCCCATGGAAAAGATTATTCAACTGATTGTGTATCTTATGACACCAAAAAGGTTTGCCAAATTTAGAAAAACTATACTGAGAAATAAAAAATATAGTTATTATTAATTTTTGAATTTTCAACTTTAACACCCATTATCTGTCGCATTCTTAATGAGACACCCTATATATGAAGATAATTTAGAAAGACTTAACCCATTTTAAAATTAATTCATTTTTGGTGCTGTTTTAAAATGAAAGTAATTTTAATTTTCCAATTTACATTTATTGTTTTTAAGTAAAAGTAACAAAAATAAAAACTTACCGTTTCGTAATTGGAACCAACTAAAGAATCCTTGTTGACTGCTAATATCAATTCGCCAATTTCAAGCCCAGCCTGAAATAATAAATCAATAATTATTTAAGAATTGAAAACAAACAGTAAATATTTTTAATACTATTTTGTATAATAAAAAATATGGTTCAAATTAAAAAAAATGTATGGTGTATTTAATTAACCTTAGAACTATTTTTAGAAGATAGTCTGGTCTATAATCTAAACATAATTAACATTATTTGTCGAGGGTCAGTCATGGGTCAGTGCGGTATGATATAAAAATTTAAAGCTTTTTAAATTTTTAAAAACTGTATTTTTATATAGATATTTAAAATAAAAAACTAGCTAATTGTTTTGAATTTGTTTTCTTAAATTAATTTATTATTTATGCTGATGCAGAGGTGTCTATAAAATGGTTTAGTTTATATTATACAGGTAGATACATACAACATTGTAATAAATCTATAGTATTAAGACTGATACGGTAAACATAGTGGCGACACGTGTTACTATTAGCGTGTTTAACAAATAATCAATAAGAGTACCTACTAAAGCAGGAAATAAAATCAACAGATGTCTAAATATACGAATTTAAAAACAGCAGTTTTATTTATTTACGAATTAGAAGTAGATACTCCTGTACTACTTTTTTACACCAAAATATTATTCTAAAATAATGTTTACAAAGGTTGATAACAAAATGTTGTTTTGGAAGGGAGAGGGATGAACAATTTAGTAATAGTTCACAGGAGCGATTGAACACTTTCTGAATATTTGTTTCAAATGGTTTATTAATTGTATTAGTTCGCGTTTCGCGAAAAATTTGTTAGTCGTGACATGCCACACTTTGTTACTGGCCTACTTTTTGTTTGTTTGATAAGAATGAGATGACTTTTTTTCCAAATGAAGAACGGTCTAGTTCCGTACGAGTTTTTCAAAAATGATAATATTCACCATTATGAGTATATATGAAAACGTAGAGAATATTTAAGAACATTCTTTCGTGGACTGGGAAAGTAAAAAAAGAGGGTCCCGGTACATTCCGTAAAGTCACTTTTAAAGCGTATAAGTTTAAATAGCAATCTCTACGATACTGTAACGTTTATTTATTTAAACAATTTATTATTTAATTTATTTACATTAATACGCTAATTTATTTGTACTAAATACAACACATTATATATCTTTTACTAATAGACTAATTTATATTGAAAATATTGAGGACTAGAACATACCAAAAGATGTTGCCGTGAAATGGGACTTAGTATAAACCCTACAAAAACAACACTAGTAGCCTTTTCAAGGAAAAGAAAATTTAATCTCAAAACCGTTAAATTAGACGGGATAGATATAGAATGGAAAAATGAAGTCAAATATCTAGGCCTAACCCTGGACAACAAACTTCTCTAGAATACGCCCTAATGGTATGCAGAAACATTGCAGGCAAACGATGGGGATGTAACCCAAACATACTGCGATGGATGTATACTGCAATAGTGAGACCAATCATCACTTACGGGGCTATAGCCTGGAGTAACGGAACTAGTTTAGCTACTACGAGAGCTAATATCTCAAAAGTATAAAGACTAGCCTGTGTTTGCATTACTGGTGCAATGAGAACCTGTCCTACGGCCGCAATAGAGGTGATCTTAAACCTCACCCCTCTACATTTGATGATAGAGAATGTGATAAAAAAGACACGATATAGAATGATCAGGGACAGAGTAATCAGACGAAAGCCTACTTGCTTCAGGACCAAAGATACCTGGGACATGCCCCAGGCTGAAATGCTAAAGAAGTAATGTTTTGTGAAAAACTTCAAAATCACATAGCTGGGTTGAAAGGAAGAATGGAGCCAAGAATCCATCGCGCTTGCAACCGAAAGACGTTCTATTCAGTGGTATATGGACGGTTCCAAAACCATAGAAGGAACTGGAGTAGGAATCAGCTCAAAAATGGTCTGGAGATGCCTAGAACAATTGAATGAGGTAGGCGAGAAAAATAGAGTTACTCTCACTTGGGTCCCGGGACATTACGGGGTACAGGGTAACGGGATTGCAGATAGTCTTGCAAGGAAAGGGGCTCAAACACCCTTTGTAGGACCTGAGCCGTTCTGCGGTATCAGCAGTAATATAATATTAGGAGAGATTAAAAAAGAATTGGGCAGTAGAAGAACCGATAATTGGAACAATCTCTTGGGGCTGACAGGCCAAGATACTTCTAGGGGCATATAACCAGGAAAGATCGGAAGCCTGCATCTGCTTGAGCAAGAACAGGCTACGTATTGTAACAGGGATCCTTACCGGGCATTGCTGACTAAAAAGACACCTAAGTAAACTGAGAGTATCTGTATCTGTAACGTGTGGAGGGTGGGTTAGGCCTCATTAGGCCTGGTGTGCTTCCTCCTAAGATGATAGGCACCTCCTAGCTCGTGAGCCAGCCTACAGATTTAATGTAGTTGACAACGTCGCCAAGAGGTGCTTCTCTTATATCGGCCGGTGTTAGCCGATACTCGCCGAACACAAATCTTCTAATACATGAGAGCGTCGAGCTATCGTAAAGGATATGCTCGATGGTCTCATCTTCTTGTTCGCACCTTCTGCAGAGTGCGGATTCTCACAGCCCCACGATATGGAGATGTTTCCCTACTTCGCAATGACCAGTCAGAATGCATGTGACCAGGCGCAGATTCTGTCTAGTCATAGTCAAGTATTTGTTTGCTGCAGTGTTGTCAGGATAACTTAAGAACTCCCTGGCAACTCTGCAGTTTCTTGTTTCATCCCATCTTTCCTTGAATTTCACAAGGGAATGTTCTTTAATTAGGTATGTCACTGCCGATTTTGTCAGGCCAATAGAAGGGCCAGGTCCAAAAAGTATTTGGTTGGCTGCTTTATTGGCTATAGAATCGGCAAGACGGTTACCTTTCGATGTGGCGTGACCTTTGATCCATCTTAAGGTGACCACATTGTTGATGGATACTTCGGCCAAAGCTTCGTGACATTCTAGAACTAACTCTGAATAAATTCGAGGTCTGTTCACGGTGAGTAGTGCTTGTCTGCTATCTGTATAGATGAGCATGTATCTTCCATTGATATTGTTTCTGGTTATTTCTTTTGCTGCTATGAGAATCCCCGTTAGCTCTGTTTGAACTACACTGGCACTATTGCTCACAGCCCAATTTATATTCCATATCCTGAGCCTTGTTTTGTTTTAGAACCGTCGGTGTAGATATGAATCGTACCTGCTACTTCTGGCTATTCTATTTGTTCTATTATAACTTTATATGGCTTATGGAAGATATATCTTGGTGAGATGGAGTCCATGTTCGCTTGAAGCAGTGGGAGCGTATAAACTGAGAGTAGTAGAGGATAGTAAGTGCAGATTCTGTGAGGAGGAGGACGACGAAACCTCCATTCACATCCTAACTGAATGTGTAGCACTCCAGAATCCAAGGGCACTATATTATTATCTAGGAGGATATCAAATAGAAGAGGGAGATTTACCTAACTTGAAGCCACTTCAAATCCTACACTTCCTTAAGGAAATTGGATTGGAAGGGTAGTTGTAGGCATTGAGACATTTCCTTGGTGCATTGGCGACAGAAGGGGACACAATAGATCTTTAAGGTCGCAGTATATTAACACCCCATTCCCAACATAACATATTGAAAATATTTATCTGACCAGCACGAAATCTTAGTTTAAACTCAACTACAACAAACTTGGGCTATTTTTATAAAAATATGGCGGTCCAGACTTTTTCTAGAAGATTCTAGATGTATTTCGACTAAGAATAGACACCATTTTCTAAATAGAATTTGTAATTTCGTTATCATTCATCAGAGGGTCCTGTATATTCCAGAATTATGTTCCAGTACGACTGGAGGGATCCAAGGCCGAGTCACAGGAGGTTGATTTATTTCCTCGAATATTTTTCATAACGGGAAAAACGGAGGCCGTAAGAAGCTCAAATAAGAAAGAAAGGGAGTTAAGGAATTAGATCATGACCAGACTGGTAGAAAATGGCCCGCATAGCAATATCTTAATAGTTATTTATGCAACAAGTGCAAAAAGTAAGTGATTTTTAACTTCTCGCTAGAAATAGGGCTTTTTCTACTTGGTCAAAATGTTTGTTATTTATTTCGACGAAAGGGTCTCATGAAGGAAAACTACTTTACGCTAGGAGCCTTTTACACCGTCTTCATCCAAAACTAATTAAACTTAGGAAATTAACGAGAATTTTCAATAATTCATTACCTAAAATCGGATTTTCAGTCAGGGTTTAAGGGTATATTTCGATTTCTATTACGGACAACTCTGGTCATTTTAACTCTATTTAAAAATAATTAGTAGTATAAATTATTTTATATTCAAGTGATTAAACAATGTAGGGCAGTTTGATGTTTTGATTATAATTATATGATACTCAAATATAATGATTAATAGTTAAGAGACGAGAGACAATTAGTTTCAATAATATACATGAGAGTTGGGAAAATACACATAATTTTAATCACCGAATTCTCACCAGTGGCGCTTCCTGCTTTAATTTACAGGGAAGTAATATGGAATTTTGATTAAAATGTGATTTTAATTAGAAAAGTGCTTTCTCAATTTTGAAAGAGGACGCATAAATTGTAAATGCGAGAATCGTTCAGGAAGTCCTTAGAAACTCTAAGAGATGGCGCTTGTAGCATCGAAAATGGTTTGTTTATATTAACACGTTAAGGCTGCGACATTTGAGCCAGCGGTTTTGCAACAAAGCAAGTATTCAATACATTGTACATAGATGGCAATACCTGTACCTGTAGCTCGTATAACAATTTTTAAGCGTACTTGTTTTTATATCCAGGTTGCCAAATCTAGGTAGACAGATACCAATAAATGTTTTAGAAGAATAATATATTTTGCGATATCCAGTTTCAATTTAATAATTGCACTGTTACATGAAAAATTAATCTGTCAAAACTTGTACCTAGTTGGCAAGTAGTAAGCAGGTTAAATGTAACAAGAAGAAAAAAAACATTAAATTTTACTTTAGAATAATATTTCAACATTTATTCACATTATTGGTATATTGTATTTCACTTGTAAACTATATTTGACGGTCATAATAATAATTTTAATCCTAAAGAACCGGGTCAATTGAACTTTTCCACATCTCAATTTTTGGGTTGGAGTGAAAGGTATTTTATGGTTGGGTAGAAATTTGATTACTTTATGGTTTTTCCTAATTCGAAGGGTTTTGTTTACATTTTACCTAAAAATTTGCAAAACTTCTATAAATATAAATCGATTATTTTAGAATTTGAATGATTCCTCGGTTCATTTCGATAATAAAATAAGAATTTTTAATTTTGTATGCCTACTTATTAGATAATGGTACCTCTAAAATGCATAATGATATTACTTAAGTAAAAATATAATTTGACAATACCGTGATCGCTCATGCTTTTGTTGATTAGACAGAAATTGTGAAACTTAACAATCGATTGGATCGATTATTGTAAATTTCGGAACTAAGCAACTGGTAGTCTCTGGCAACTGACAAGCCAAAAAAACTCAAATGTCGAAGGATTGAAGTCTAAACGACAGAACGTAAACAGTTCGTTTTTTGTGTTTGAATTTTGTCAGATTTTTGAGTGGGTGTTGTTATTTTTTTGTGCTTTTTCGTTATTCGTGATTTTGTTACTTTTATAAGACTTCTATTAGTTATAAGGATATATTTAGTGATAGTACGTTTTAGAAGTTTTACCTTATAAAGGGGTCTATTCTGTAACAATTCCTTTATATTTAACGGCCTTTAAAAATATTTTCTTCTTTACTTCTGTCATTATTTAAACGGATCTTTAAAATACATTAGAGGACTATCTTAAAGAAATCTGTTTAAATAATGACAGAAGTAAATTAACGAATACGAACATATTTTTATAGGCCGCCAATATTTTTAAAGGCCGTTAAATATAAAGGAATTGTTACAGAATAGACCTCAAAATATGGGGCATCATACAAATGTCCCAAGTAAAAAGAGGAAGAGAAATAAGATGTGCAATTGGAAAGTCATGTGTTCCCAAAAGTCGTTTGGTTTCAAAGTTCCTCAAGGAATAAAAGTGTAACAAAAATTTAATGTTGAAAGATATATAAAGCGATTCATTTCCAATATTTTTGAAATCTGTATTATATTTTAGGTTGTTTTTATTGTAATATACTATAATCTTTTTTCTAATAAACTACTTTTTGTTTTATGTCTAATTATTTTTTATATTTCCTTCCACCCATGTCCTATCAATAATAATTTTTGCAATAAACAAAAATATTTAGGTATTTTTGCCAGTTTTGAATTAGTTTTTATTAAAATTGCTCATAAACCAATACAATTAACATTAATAAAACTGATTATAATAACTACTTCAAACAAACTCAAAATTAATATTGCAGATAAATATCCATTTGTACACCACTTCATTGGCTTCAATTCTTAAAATTAGTCTTCATGACACGTATATGACATACAGTGAGTGCAATAAAGTTGGGTCCATATATATATGGCAATTTGTATTAATATTATGACCGGAAAAAACGCCATTTACCTCTGATTATATTTACCTGTCAAATTCGTAATAATTTTGAAAAATCGCTCAAAAATCCTTTTTTAAACGAGACTGACAGAACTAAATCCAGTAGTCAAATTTGATATGGGTTAGTTTAAGTTTTTAAATAACCAGAGATGATGGTTTACGATGTTTTTTCCAATCGTAATATCAAAAAAATTCACATATGGATCCAACTTATTGACACACACTGTATAAAGCAGGTTTGAGAACGTACAAAACTATATTTTTTTTAATTCTTGTCAACTAACAAAAGTGCTTGTACCTTAAAATCTTCCCGATTTTGTCACTCAATAAATATCTTTAAAACCATTGTAAACATACATAGAACGGCAACGTCGTATTATCATTGATTATCATATACAAGTATATTTGAGCAACGGTTCGTATTGTACTTTGAAATAATTTGACATGCCGTTTGCATTTCTAATTGGTCAACTAATAATTTGACATATGACGTTTACTTTTCTGATTGGCAACCATTAGTTGTCGCCCACAGGTTACAAATGTTCTTTATGCATTTATAGAAGGTTTGTCTACTGGCTTAAAATTTCCACATGGTAAAGATCGCCGTTTAACTAATATAGGCTTAAATGAAGGGATATGTTGCGAGAAACAATACAACAATTAAATTTCAAGATGTTCGTGAACCGGACAATTGGCAAAACGCTATAAGACGTCGTAGCAGAGGAAGATAAATTCTGAAAACTTGATATGTTAATGGAGGAAACAATAGAACCAATTATTATTTCTGTGGGAAGTGAGGAAACTGATGATGACTGCTTATCGGGAGAAAACGACTTATTTATTTAGGTATATAACTCTATATTTATATTAATTAAAATAAGTTTTTATGACGCTAGTTCCCGAAATACAAACAAATTTCTAAAAACGAAATATGAGTTCTTTATGATAAAACATTTTTTGCAGATTTTATTATTAAATTTTAAGGAAATGTCCTAACCTAATATCTAGTATACTATTTTTATAAATAAAAATGTGGTTACTTAATATTGACAGCTTACTATTTTTTATATTAAAGTAATTTCGTGTTCTCCGTTACTGAGGTATAGAATTATTGGTTAATCCCTTAGGTTTGCTCATTTACACTTTATGATTTATTGTATTCGATATTTTTTAGGGTGATCATACTAAAATCTAGTGAATATTCAAATAAGAAGGCATCAATATTTACTTTTTTTTCTGCTTTTCACAAACCTGTATATGCATCTCTGCCATAAAAACTGTGCTATCATTTATTTTCAAAGTATATGTTATTTTGTGTCATCCTATATTATGTAGTTGGAACAGTAGTGATAGTGTTTTCTGTATAAGCCAATAAAATAAGATTGTCAATTAAAAAATAATTGTTAAAAGCCAAATGCAAAAGAAGCAAAAAACTTCTTGGACAAGAATTCCAATGCCTATCCAGATACAACCTCTTAATGCTAAACTATGTTTTTTTAATTTGTATACATACCTTTTCCGCCGAACTGCCTTCTTGAATGTCAGATATGAAAATACCTTGTCCAACTTCCGCATGTTTCCCCTCGATTATCATAATGCCTAAGCTCTGGTTTGATTGCTGTTAAAAAAAGTAACTATTAATATTAGGTAAATTTAATATTAAGAAGTAAGTGTGTTATATTAGTAACTACGTTATGAAGATATGTATGATTGTACAATTTTTGTAAGAGTAAAAAATATATAGAAGGTTCTTCTCTAATCGAACGATAAATATCCTTATTCAAAAATGTATTCAGTAAAACGCGGAAAAGTTTACGGCTCTATTTTATACTCTCTATCAAATTATAGATACTGTAAACTCATAAATCCATGATATCCATCAAATATATATCTGAAGGAAAGCAGCATCAACTTTTATCGAAACTTTTAGCAACAAGAATTGTCATTTCATTGCCTTATTTCGCGAGTTGCGATGAATTACGAGGGTTAATCTCTATGCCCCAGTTTCTGAACTATCTAAAATAAAAAGAATTCTTTTATTTACTGAATGCATACTTTAATTTTTGGTTCCTTAACCGATATATTTTCTGTTATTTTTCAGAAACATTTATGTTTACGGCGATTCGGCAGACAAAAGAAAGATCTTAGGATTTAATCTAGTACATACTAACTATGGTGTCTTTCACATCGATGCTGTGTTGGTGGGTTTAAGGAGAATTGGGATAGGGGAGAATGTATGTAACGACTACAGTTGAAATCTGATGTCTTCAAATTTGTTAATTAGCCTGTTGTAGCTCCAGATTGGTAGAACGACGAGGCATAAACTCAGAGATCCAGGTTCGATCCCTGGACAGGGCACGCATTTTTTTCTTCTCAGCTTTTTCAGTTTTTCATTGGTTTGTTTTTAATTTAGGGTAATGAGGTTGGATTCCTTAATTTCGTAGGTGGATTGGGGTTTTTTTTCATGTATTCTTCAGTTTTCGGACCTTTAATCGATGTATTCTATCATTTCAGTGAAATAAAAAAATAACATTTCAACAGTTACTTTGTTTTTCGATATCTTGTCCTAGTGATGCTTCAACATTTTAATACCGTCAAGGAATACATTTACAACCTCTTCAAACCATGAATTTACGGCTAGAATACCATCATTGCCATTTGAAAATTTTCTCCACAAAAATATTCTATCAGTTTTGGGAACAGTCTGTAGTCTTGTGTTACGGATTATCCTCACAAAAATATTCCAATAGGTTTGGAGAACTTGTTGGACAATTTATAGATGCGCCATTACAACTATCTATCCGCTGGTTTTGATACTGGTTGGTTTAGATATTTTCTAACAAAAATGCGCTTCATCGTGCATAAATATTATTTGCAGATGTTATAAATAAATTTCTCTTGTTAATCTGTGCGAAAGAATGACATGACCAATAAACAAATTATGAATTTCAGGTCACATATTAATTTTAAATTCGTGTTGATAATGATCCAACCTTAATTGCATGCGGAATTTCATGTGCATAAATGTGTTCATTATGAAAATTAGTTACCGCTCTTGTGAAACACGCTTCATCGGTAAACACAATAATTTGGCCAACGTTTAAATCCCATTCTCTCTGCACATCATTAGTAAACCGATAAATACTCAGCAATAGTTTAGGATCAAATGGTAAATGATCTTGAACTGACTTCTTATGTTATGTACTCGTATATAGCAATTGCTCATTATTTACGCTATAAATGATATTTTTAAATATTCCTATTATATTACCAAGCAATCTTAATCGTCTGGTGCTTAGGTATGTTATGTTATGTTTGGAATGGGGTGTTAATACACTGCGACCTAAAATATCTATTGTACCCCCTTCTGTCGTTAATGCAGCAAGGAAATGCCTTGATGCCTATAACGACCCATCTAATCTTAAATTCTCAAGAAAGTGAAGGATTTCGAGTGGCTTCAAGTTAGGTGTATAATGCCCTTGAATTCTGGAATGTTACACATTCAGTTAGAATGTGAATGGAGGTTTCGTCCTCCTCTTCATAGAATCTGCACTCCCTATCTTCTACTACTCTTCTCTTACTAAGGTATCCTTTGAGGCTTCCGATATTTTCTGGTTATATTCACTTAGAATATCTTAGCCTATCTTAACCCCAAGAGATTGTTCCAATTATCGGTTCTTTTACTACCCCATTATTTTTTAATCTCTCCTAATATTGCTAATACCGCAGAACGACTCAGGCCCCACAAAAGGTGTTTCAGCCCCTTTCCTTGCAAGACTATCTGCAATCTCGTTACCCTTAAGGCCCGATTGTACAAAGCACGCTAAAAACTAGGTTCAGGTAAACTCGGTAAATGGTTGAACTTACCTAAAACATTTGTATGAATTGTACATACTCCGCTCAACGTCGGTTTAGATAAACTTCATTGTTGAGGGTTGCCAGATTTCAATTGTACTAAATACGTAGGGTATCTTTGTTTCTCTTATTAGAAAATAAAGAAGCTATATAAAATGCCATTTTTGGCATTTTTACTGTAAAATTATTATTTTTAGAGGTTATACGTTATCCTTCCTCCATGATATGTAGTTTTCACTCGTGTTTCTAGACTGATGAGAATTTGCGATAGATTTTGAATTACATTTTTTATTCAAATATAAAATACATGTAAAAATATGGAAAATATGAATGTGCAATCAATAAAAACGCCAAACTTCACGCATTCCGAAGAAGGTTTACTAGTGAAACTAGCGAAAAAAAATAAAGACATTTTAGAAAATAAAAAAACCGATGTGAATGTAATGCGCAAGAAGAATGAGTGCTGGATAAAAACTAAAAGTGAATTTAATTCACAAAGTGGTATTATATTTCGCGGAAATATTTACTAATCCTCGTCTTCAGACATTTCATACATTTTTATGAAACCTTCCAATAATAAGGAATTCAGTAATTCGTATTTATCTTGTTTTCTATTTACCTACCTAGGTACGGTGTACGGTTTGTGTATGGTAACGTATAAGGTACCAAGCAAAAAATTTTTTTTTTGTAATCTGTTACCAACTAACTAAATTCAAAAATAGGTTTGAACTCGGTTTAAGCGCTGAAACATGACCGCTTTCTTGAACCTATAGATGAACGAAGTTTATGTTCTGAACTAGTATTGTACAACGCCAAGAACCAGGTTCATGCTAAACCGAGGTTCAACTCGCATTGTACAATCGGGCCTTACCCGTTATGGTTTAAACCGTTGAATATATCTTAGATAAAAGAGACCAGAGATATAACGTACACCTGTGTTTAACCTGCGCAAATGTTGCCAATTTCTAAAGAAAGGTTAACGGAGTGGGGGAACTGGGCAGAGACCCGAACTCTGTGACAGGGATCGAACTTTGTTTATTAGCATCATAATGAACTATTAGATTTATTTAAAATATGTTTAATTGAAATAAAATTAACGTGATTTTTTAATATCAAACAGATGCACGACATTTTATGTAAAGAGAATTATAGAATATTTCGTTAGCGTTTATTTACTACGGACTTTTCAGCAAGAGACTACAGTAAAATGTTGAAATAGAATATTGTTAATAGAGCAAGAAATGGTACTCATTGTCTACGAGTATTTTAAAAAAGCATATGCGCAGGCGAGTACTGCAAATCAAACCTTTTGATTTGAACATTATATTTTTTCTACGGCTATTACGTAATTTTAAAAATTAGTCAAAATGAGAAAATGCTGTTTTGTATTGTAACCTCAGCTTCTTTCTTTAGGAATATTAATTAATATAGAGGATGAGTCACATAAAACTCTAGAAATGCATATGTCTGAAACCAGATAACATTTTAAAATTTAAACCTATTAAAAGTCATTTGGTCGCTAGAGGTGGGTGATTATCGAAATAAATGATCGATCAATGAAAATATTCGATTATTTTCGATCAATCCATTGTTTTCAATCTATTTGTTTTTCTTATTTCCTTTAAAATAGACTATTTGATTATCTTTGAAGAATCAAAAATAATCGATTAATTAAAAAGCAAATTAACCGATAAATCAGTGTTTACAAAAAATAATAAAGTAATTATCGTTTATTTTAAATAATCGATTATTTTCAAATAATCTATTTTTTTTCGTCCATTGAAACAGATTATTCGATAATCTTTGAATAATCGAAAATAATCGATTAATCAAAAATATTCTATTAATTAAAAAGTCGATTAACTGATAAATTGATTTAAAAAAAACGAATGATCGATTATTTTAAATAATCGATTATTTTCGATCAATCGATTATTATCAATAATTTATTTTTATTGTATTTCATTTAAAATCTATAATTCGATTATCAGTAAAATACCGAAAATAATCGATTAATTAAAAAGCCAATTCTACAATAAATCTATTTTCCAAAAAAATAACCGAATTATCGATTACTTTCTAATAATCCTTTTCATATTTCCTTTAAAACTGATTATTCTATTATCTTTGAAAAAATCGAAAATAATCGAAAAAAATCGATAATTCGAAAATAATTATTAATTATTAAAAAGCTGATTAACCGATAAATCGATATTTCTAAAAAATAACCGAAATATTGGTAATATAAAATAACCGATTATATTCGATCAATCGATTAGTTTCATATACCTTTGAAAATTCGAAAATAATCGATTAATCGAAAATAATCGATAAATGAAAAAAACCGATTAAACGATAAATCGATGTTTCCAAAAAGTCGATTATTTTCAATCAATCGATTATTTTGAATAAATCTACTTTCTTTTTGCATTTTCTTTAAAATCGATTATTACATTATCTTGAAATTTTAAGTTTTTCATCCTGTATTTCATGTAATATTTGTATAAAAATACCTTATAAAAATAAAATTTAGCTATCAACTATGCTTCTTTACTTCTTATTTATCATGCTTCTTTACTTCTTATTTATCTACCAAAAAGGGCTAAAAACCACCTTTAGTAAATATTCTTATAAAACTACTTTTTAAAAACAAAATTTGATTAGTAACAATGCCTATTTACTTGTTATTTAGATTAAATTTTGCCCTTCTGTTAATTTATGCGTTATGAAATCTATTTTCTGAAATATTATGTATTGTACTCA